TGTGGAGCATTTTTTCATGTATTTATTTCCTTCTTGTATTTCTTCCTCTGGAAGTGTGAGTTCATCTCGGATGCTCAATTTTGGATTGGGTCTTTAAATTTGAGGCCCTAAGGGTTTTAAGTTCTTTATGAATTGCAGAATGAAGACCTTTTTTTGAGTGCTTATTCGTTAAGATATTTTCCAAATTTGTGGGCTGTCTTTTCACTATGCTGTCAATTTCTGCTATTGTGTATAAACTTTTGAATAAATGGAGGTCCCAGTTGTTAATGTTTTCAAGTATTTCCTGCGAAGTTTGATTTTTGTTCATGAACTGTTTTCTTACCTCTAGGTCTTCAAGCTTTCCAGCTAATATCTCTTCCAGGAGATTTAGTGTTTCTGTTTTAATGTTTAGATCTATAATCCATTTTGACTTTAGTTTACTGCATTGTGATAGACTTGGGTCAAGTTTTAGTTTCTGGCATGTAGAGAGCCAGTTTTTCGAGTACTATTTGATAAAGAGGCTATCTTTTTTCCAGTAAGCATGTTTGGTCCTTTTGTCGAAGATAAGGTGGCTGAGTGTGATTGTAGTTACATAAGCATTTTCTAATCTATTCCACTGTTCCTCAGGGACCTATTTTTTGCCAAAAGAATGCTGAATTTATCACATTAGCATTGTAGTAAATTTCAAGTCAGGAATTGTAATGCCTCCTGCCTTGCCTTTGTTGCTCAGTTCTACTTTTATTAGTCTAGGTTTTTTTCTGGCTACAAGTCAATTTTAGGAATGCTTTATCAATGTCTGTGAGGTATGTTTCTTGTATTTTGATAAGGATTCTACTAAATCTGTATAACATTTTCGGGAGTATGGTGTTCACAATGTTGGTTTTTTCCTATCTAGGAGCAAGAAATAACCTTCCATTTTCTGAAATCTTCTACAATCAATTTTTTCAGAATACTGTAATTTTCATTAATGGATCTTTGACTTCTTTAGTTATATTAATTACTAGGCATTTTATTTTCTGCGGTGCTATCGTAAAAGGTATTGTTTCTCTAATTTCCCTCTCAATGTGTTTGTTATCTGTGTAGAGGAATGCTACTGACTTTTCAGTATTGACTTTGTATTCTGCTATCCTGCTGAATTTGTGTATTAATTCTAGTAGCTTCTTGGTGGAATCTTATGTGTCTTCCAAGTAGAGTATCATGTCATCTGCAAATGATGATAGTTTGATATCTTCTTTACCTATTCTTATTCCCATTATTTCTCCCTCATGGCTAATGGCTGTAGATAATGATTCCAGAACTATATTGTATAGGAGTGGTGAGAGAGGACATCCTTGTCTTGTACTAGATCTGAGAGTAAAAGATTTCAGGTTTTCCCCATTTAGAATTATGTTAGCTGTTGGATTGTCATAGATGACTTTTATCAGAGTGAAGGGCATCTATTCTAATTTTCTGTAGGACTTTAAACATGAATAAGTGTTGAACTTTGTCAAAAGCCTTTTCTGCATCAATTGAGATGATCATGTGGTTTTTGGATTTGACTCTATTGCTGTAGTGTATTACAATTACAGGTGTGCATATATTGAACCATCCTTTCATCCCTGGGATGAACCCTACCTAGTCGTGGTGTACAATCTTCTTGATAATTTTCTGTATTCTGTTTGCTAGGATTTTATTGAGGATTTTTGCATCCATGTTCTTGAGGGAGATTGGCCTGTAGTTCTCCTTTTTAGTTGCATTTTTATCTGATCTTTTGAGTATAATACTTGCTTCCTGGAATGATTTCGAGAGAATTTTTTCCTTTTCAATTTCATGAAGATTTTGAGGAATATTGGGATTATAGCTTCTGTAAATTTCTTGTAGAATTCAACTGTGAATCCATCAGAAGCTGCATTTGACTTTTGCGGTAGGTTTTTTATTACATTTTGAATTTCATTAGCGGTTATTGGGTTATTAAGCACTCTTAAATCTTCTTGATTCAGTTTTGGTAATTTGTACTTTTCTAGGAATCTGTCCATTTCTTCTGTGTCTTCAAATCTGTGAGAGTAAAGTATTTCAAAATAGCTATTGATGATTTTCCTCAATTTGCACAGGTTCTGTTTTAATTTCAAATTTTTCATTCCTTATTGCTTGAAATTGAATTTTTTCTTTTCTCTTTTTGATGGGGTTAGATAGGGGCCTGTCAATTTTATTTAATCTTTAAAAACAAACAGCTTTTTGATTCATTAATTCTTTATGCTGTTTGATTTGATTTGATTGATTTACTTTCAGGTCTAATCTTTATAATTTCCTCCTTTCTTTGGGGTTTGGGTTTGGTTTCTTCTTTTTCTAGACATTTGAGTTGCAGCATTAAGGTATTTATTTTTTCCAATTCTTTTTTCCTATTGTGTGAGTTCACAGCTATAAATTTCCCCCTAAAAACTGTTTTCATTGCATCCCACTAATTCTGATAAGTTGTGCATGAATTTTCATCGAATTGTAGATGTTGTTTAATTTCCTCTTTAATTTCATCTGTGACCCATTTGTCGATGAGGAGGGTGTGTTTAATTTCCATGTAATCATGGGATTTTTCTGGTTTCCTTTGTCATTTATTTCCTGATTCGTTGCACTGTGGTGAGATAATATGCGTGGGATAATTTCTGTTTTCTTGCATATACTTCACCATGATCTATGGACTGATATGTGGTCTATTTTAGAAAATGTCCCAGGCAGAGCTGAAAAAATGTGTATTCAGCTGTGGCTGTGTGGTTCACTGTGTGTATATCCACTAAGTCCAAAATTTGTTTCAAGGTCTGATTTAGTTCTGCTTGTTCTTTGCTAAGTTTTTGTCTGCTTGACCTATCTTTTTAGGATAAGGGTGTGTTAACATCTGCTGTTAAGGTTGTGGTGTTAGATTTTACATTTTTCATGTCTATTAACATCTGTCTTATATAGTTGGGCTCCCCCCCCCATGTTTGGTGCATACATATTTATGACTGTACCTCATCCTCTTGTATTTGTCCCCGAACAAGTATGTAGTGACCTTCTTTATTTCATTTAATCATTCTTGGTTTGAAGTTCAGAATGAGTGCCAACAGGATTGCTTCCCCTGCTTTGTTCTAAAGTGCTTAGATATGTAGTATTGTTTCCATTCTTTTACTTTCAGCCTGTGAATTTTTTATGAGTTAATTTCTTGTATACAGCATATTATTAGACTGTACTTCCTAATCCACTCTGCAAGTCTAGTTCTTTTAATTGGTGAACTGATTCTGTTTACATGGATGGTTATAATTGAGATATATTGACTTATGATTGACATATTATTTACCTGCTATTGTATACTCTTCCTTCTCCTATGTTTAATTATTTGCCCTTTTTGATGTGTGCCTTCTGTTCTCATTTGTGGAGTTGTAGTCATTATTGTAAGTCTAGAGTATCTTTTAGTAGTAGTCTGTGTAGGGTTGGCTTTGTCATCGCAAATTCTATAGTTGTTCTATGTCATAGAAGTATTTCACTTCTCCATCAAACTTGGAAGAGACTTTTGCAAGGTATACAAGTCTGGGCTGAAATTGCTTTTCTTCGAGAACTTGAAGTACTTTGCTCCATACTTGTCTTGACTTGATGGTTTTTGAGGAAAAATTCTCCATTATTCTTATGGGTTTTCCTCTACATGTAATATTTTTCTTATCTCTAGTTACTTTTAGTATATGTTCTTGTTCTGTATTTCTGGGATCTTGACTATTATATGTCTGGATGTGTTCATTTGGAAGTTATTTGGAGTTCTATAGGCTTCCATTACCTGAATATCAGATTGTTTCCCCATATTTGGGAAGTTTACTTGTATTACTTTGGCCCATATTCTTTTTATATTATTTGTATTTACTCCTTCTTTCTCACTGATACCTAAATGCCTTATGTTGTTCATCTGTGTATCATCTTGCAGATATCGAATTATTTTTTCCTGCATCTTAGGTGTTCTTGAGAGATCTTTTCTTACCTTTTCACTATCTGCAATGGTGTCTTCAACAACTGAAACTCTATCTTCACTTTTCATTCAAGCGATTTTCCCAGGTTGTGATTGAGGTACTTAATTTCTTTAGAAGCACCTAGTAGTTCTTTCATTCTAGTTATTATTTTTTTTTTACTTCAGAACTTATTTCTGATTTAATTTCCTCTATAAAATTCTGCAATGATTTCTTTAATTTAGACCCTATTATTTCAAAAATTTCTAGTGTGTGAATTCCTATTTCATCTATGTGGTTGTCTCCTGCATTTTTTCTGGGTGGACTCAGGGCCTGAGAATGTGTTTTTCCCCTTCTCTTTCTCTTTTAGTATAGCATTCTCTTCTGAACTTTGGTGTAGAGCTTTTTTACAGTTATTACCTTAGGATGCAACAATATTGTTACCCAAGAGAGATTATGTGGTTAAGGCAGTTACAGTTTTGCATTTACAGAACTACAATCAGCTACACTAATAATGGGTAATGAGATTTAGCAGCTGATAAAATTTTGTATCTAATGGATTTGCCTTTTAGACCCTAAAAACAAATATTTTCACTGTATCGCTAAGCAAGTATTAGATTGGGGGTTTGTATACAAAATAGTTCCCCTAAGTTCTATCTGATCACCTTCCCTTTTGTACCTGTAGTCTTCCAAGCAGACTAGTACCCCCCAGTTACCTGTTCCTCCCACTGTCAATCAATAAAGAAGGAGAGAAGATGCTTTCATAGATCTGCGTCTAGCAAAGTTTCTTAGCTTGTCGCAACTGAATCCAGCAAGTTCGAACTCATTCAGGTGGCTCTGGCTTGAGACTTGCTGCTGTGCTTCACTTATTTCTGCTGCTCCCTATTGAAGCAGATTCCCTGTGGTCTCTGGCAAGATGTTCTGCTCCTGAATTTATTGAGTGGTCTCTCCCCTTGCCTCTCTGCAGTAAGTTCTGCTGCAGAGTTTAACAACTGAACTGTCTGATGAGGGAGGTTCTGGTGAACATGCCTTAAGTTTCCACTCACAACCGGGGCCTAAGCCCTTGGGAACAAAAGGTCCCACTCACACCGGGCCTAGAGTGGGGGGTGAGGTAGAATCCTGCATGCACAGAGGGTCCCAGTCACACGCTTGGTCTTGGTCCTGTTTGAGTAGGATCCAGCGGAACACGTAGATTTCCTTTAACTTTAACCTAGAGAGAAAGGGATTAGAAATAATAAAGTTGATAGCTTAAAAAGTGTGCCTTTTTGGGAAATTTAGAAAACACAATTTATAGTTATATTGTTTTGATAATGTATATTTTGATTGGAATGTGTCGAACAATCTACTGGGCATTTTACTTTTAATGGGTGAGAATCCTGATATCTGAGTTATTAGATATGTATGTAAAATTCCAAAGATTTAATGATAATGTGTTAAAAATTATATCTGTTAGCTCTCATGGAAAAGACCTACCAGGAAATACACAGAGCCCATTATGATTCCATTTAAATGAAGTGAGAGAATTGACCCAGCAGGAATGAAGAACAAGGATGAGACAGGTAAGTTCTCCCCAGAGCTCAGTGCACCTGCTCATGTTTAGGATCTGGAAGTTGTAGTTCCTGTGTGTCCTGACCATGCTTAGTGCTCTACTGTGTTCTCAGCACCCTCTGGAGGGATAAAGGAGCCTTTGATTACACTGAGCATGACCTGTTGGTCCTGATCACCAAGGAATTCAGGTTTGTGTCTGTGTTCAACCTGACTACCTCTCAGGTTGTGTTCCAAATTCTCATCTGAGTTTAGGAGATTCCCTGAGACTCCTGAGGATCTGGTCCCTAGGCCCACAGAAGAATCACAATGATCTCAACAGATCACATGAGTATGGCACAATTGAGAACGTGAGCTCGTATTTAAACAAGTGTATGTAATGAGAGACATCAGTGGAAAGGTGGGACTGATAAAATTAGTGTGTCTGGGAGGAAGAATTATGTTCAAAAGAATTCTCAAGGCCTAAGAGAAAAGCAACTTTCACCTCACTCTAAACGTACCCGACTTCTAGCCCAGGCCTGGTGAGTGTGTGGGAGAGCTTCCAGCTGCACTGCGCTGGTGGAACCTATTGGGCCCAGCCCAGGGTCAGCGTGGGTGAGACCCTCTTTCACCCCCTTAGGACACACCCTGCAACTCCTCAGCACCTCAACCACCCCGCTCACCGAGTAGGAATTTCTGCCGCATTCCAGGAACCTCCAGATCCAGTCCTAGCCCAGGCCCGGTGAGTGTGTGGGAGAGCTGCCTCTCCCCCCTACTCCACCTTGTCTCTGCCAACTCAGCTCAGGCCTGGCATACAGGCCTGGGATGAAACGCTGCAGCTGCAATCCCTACAGAGAGGGTAGGGACAGAAACACCCACTTAGTCTAGGAGCAGAACATCTTGCCAGAGGGGCACAACAGGTTCACCCCCAAGGGCAACAGCAGAAAGAAGCTGAGAGCAGCAGCCAGACCCAAGCAAGGCACAGCTGGATAAACCCAAACTTTGTAGATCTGGACCTGAACTTCAGTAGGTGCTAAGGTTATAACTTCAACAAAGATGTAAAACACAGGTCAGAAGACAGTGCTACAAAAAATGACAATGAGAAGGAGCAAAATACAATCTCAGACACCAAGTCCACCCATAACAAGTGCAGAGGACACTACTACAGAACAAACTGAGATTCACACAACTGAAATCAAAGAATCAATGGCTTCTGAAATAAAGAAACAGCTACAGAAAGGTATAGAGAAACACAGATTGGAAATGAAAAAAAGAAATCTGTGAATTAATAACATCTGCAGTAACGAATCAAATGCAGAAAAATATGGAGGAAAACCAATGCCCACCAAGATCAAGTGCAGGTGACACTAGCTCAGCTCAAATGTATGAATTCATAGCATTGATAGTAAATAAGCAACAGCAGAAAATTATAGGGGAACTCAGACGGGAACTTTCTGAAATAAGAAAAGAATTCTGAGAACTCATAGCATCTGAAGTCAAGAATCAACTACAGAAACATAGGGAGGAAATCTAAACTGAAAAAAACACTGCAGTAAAAGAATTTATAACTGCTTCTAAAGAAGATATTTATTAAAAATAGAGGAGATTAAAACAATGACAGATTGGTTAAATGAGAAATACAGGAACGATATAGATCGCATGAAGCAGAGTCAAAGAGATATAGAGGAAATTAAAATCTCAATCACAAGCTTGTAAAACCATTTAGTGAAAGTGAAGACAGAGTCTCTGATCTTGAAGATGCTAGTACAGCTAGTGAAAAGGTAAGAAAGGATCTCTTAAAAGCAACGACGGTTTAGATTTTTTAATAAAGAAAATATAGCTATTTCAAAAAATTTTTTTTAAAAAAGCAACGACGATGTAGGAAAACATAATCCATCACCTGCAAGATGATGCAAAGATGAACAATGGGAGAATAATAGGCATCAATAAGAAAGAAGGAGTCAATACAAATGACATTTAAAAAATATGGGTAGAGTCCTAGCCCAGGTCCGGTGAGTGTGCAGAGAGTTTCCTGCTACCCTGCGCCTGCGGGACCAGTCCCAGCCCAGGCACAGTGTGGGCCGGACCCTCTCCCAGCCCCTCGGGCCATCCCTCACCACTCCTCAGTGCCTCCCCCACCCCGCCCGCCGAGTAGGATTTTCTGCCGAGTTCCGGGAGCCCCCAGACCCAGTCCTAGCCCAGGTCCG